CCAAAGGGAGGCTCCTGGCCCGGGCCCGGGCCCGCCCAGCCTATATAGGCGCTGCCAGAGGCTTATATAGGACATCAGCAAGCCTTCCACTTTGGAATCGTTGCTCTGTCTGCTCACCTCACCCTCAGCACCCTCTTCCATCCGTCTTTCCTTTTCTCCCCTTCTCTTTCTGGTTCTCTTGCCCCCCAGAGTTCTTCCTCTTCCTCCTCTCCCCACCTCCTCTCACGCCTCCCTCACCCCCCTTCCCCTGGGGCACAGCCCTCCTCTCCAACTGTGGCGTCAATGCCATCGCCCCCCCACCCCGCTTGCCCCAAGAGTTCTCTGCACCTGTGACTGGTTTGGCCCCCCCACCCCTGTCTGCATCGCACACCATTAGTGACGGGGAGGAACGTTGGCCCCCCCCCCCCTGTCTGCATCGCACACCATTAGTGACGGGTAGTAAGCGGCACGTCCACGGTGGGGAGGCGGCATGCGGGGGGCTGGCAGAATGCTGCACCAGGAACGGAACTGAACTCATGTCTCTGTGTGTGTGTGTATGTGTGTGTCTCTCTGTTCTCCTCCCCTCTCTCTTCTCTGCCTCTTCCCCCTCTTCCCTGCCTGGGCCCTGCCCCCTGCCCCTTCCGGCCCCCTACCCTCCCCAGGACCCATGCGGACTGCCCGCAGCTCCTGGATACAGAGGACATGGTGCGGCTTCGAGAGCCTGACTGGAAGTGCGTGTACACGTACATCCAGGAGTTCTACCGCTGTCTGGTCCAGAAGGGGCTGGTAAAAACCAAAAAGTCCTAACCCCTGCTCGGGGCCCCACGGGGAGAAACGCCGCCTCTCCCACCTGCCCTGTTTCACCGGAATCTGCTCAGCGGGGCACTTAAAGGGACCTGGGAGGTGGGCGGAAGGGAAGCAGGGGTACCCTTAGAAAAGCCCCAGGAGCCATGCATGGCCCTGTCTTCTGGTAGTTCAAGGCCTAGTGGGTGAAAACTATTCTGAATGGTCAGTGATGACCCAGGTGAGCAAACTGTGATGGGGGAACCCAGGAGGCTGTGGGAACCCAGGAGAGGGATCTGAGCCAGGTTTTTTGGGAAAACAATTCCAAACTAAGCTGGGATCTGAACAGATATGGGCTAAACAAGGGAGAGAGAGTTGCAGTCAGGGATGCACTTGTGTACGGGGTCTGGGGTGAGAACGATGGCGAGCCTAGCCCACCCAGGAAAGGAATGAACTTGGCCCAGTTTGAGAGTAGTGTGAGGGGCCGCAATCGAGTTTGAACTTCATCTTGGGGACAAAAGGAGTCATAAACATTTCCAAAGAGGAATGATGGATATGATCAGGCTAGCATTCCAGAACATTCCTCACGTGAGGCTTGGATGAGGGATGAGATGACCTAGATGGCAGAGCAGCTTAAGTAGAAGGACAGGCTTCCTGATCGATCTGGTTTGGGGAGGAAGAAGGGACAAGAAGCCTCCCCGGCTTCCAGCTGGAGCACTGGACACTTGGTGGTGCCAGGCTCCAAGGTGGGGAGCTCAAGAGCAGGGCTAATTCAACAGGAAGATCTTCCTGGATTCCCCCGAGCCAACAGGGGCACTACCTCTCTGGTCACCTTGCCTTGGGGCCACAGTAGGGAATCCAGATCCTAAACTGAAGCGGGTGGCTCAGAGTGTCCCAGGACTGGGAAGGGCATGGGATGTTAGGTCAAAGCTGGAGCCAGAATCCGGGACTCCAAACTCCACACTTGCTGGCTCTGTTCTTGCCCCAGCACTGTTTTCCCACCCATTTTGTGGAGAATTAAAACAGATGTCCAGAAGGAGCAAGGGGATTGCCCGAAACCGTGAGTCAGAGCCAGAGCTAGTTGGGGTTACACTGAGATGCACCTCCGGGCCTGGAGCCATTGTGGGGGTGGAGGGCAGCCCACACGTGCACCCATATACTCAGAGGAGTGGTGCAGGTGAGGAGAGGATGGGCTCAGTGCTGTCTCCAGGTCATATATGGACTCAGGAACTGTTGTCCAGCAGACCGGCCTGGAGGGTGAGGGGCCCAGCTCAGCTCTGATCCAGTTGGAAAGTGTGACTCAGCGTGCTGTTACTCGAGTTGTCTTGTGTTTGGCCTGTAGCTGGGGCAGCCTGAGCCCTGAGCCGTGAGCCCCAGTGTAAACAATGGCTTTATAAGGTCTCCAGGGAAGGCACCAGGGGTGGGAGAGAACTCCAGGTTGGGGGAGGAGAAGCCGGGATCCCCGGGAAGATAGCCACAGCTGGAAGAAGCTTTAGAGAGGCTGCTTTGGCACCATGGTACCGCTGGGGAAACAAGCCCGGTCTGGGGCAGGGATGACCCCAAGGTCACATAGCTCATCGGTCAGAGTCAGGAACCTCACACTCATCTGAAGTGCTTCCAAGTCTCAAGTAAAGCAGACATAAAGAGGGGGAAACTGAGTCCGTGGACAGGACCAGGTCTTATCTAGCATCCTTAGCTGGTTAGAGATAGAACCCACCTCCCAGGCTTCTTCCTTGAAGGAGTCCTGGGGAAGCGGGCATAGGCTCCAGTCCTACTGCAGTGCAGGGTTTGACTGAAGCTATAAGATCAGAAGTGGACTTGGGTGAGAGCCAACAGGGGACAAGGCAGAGGAGAGCTTGCTCTGGGAGACGAAGGGACATGAAGCCAAAGGGCAGCTCCCAGCTTTGGCCCTCTGGGGCCATCAGTTGCTTAGTAGCTACAGCCCGCTCATCCCACAGTAAGGAAGTGAGGGCTCCAGGTGAGTGCCAATACCCAGAGCTGGGACCTGGGTCCCATGAGACCTAGCAGTGCACCTACTGAACTGTGGGCTTGAAACAGACAGCTCGTCCGCTCTGTGACTCAGTGTACCTATCCCTAAAGTGCAGGTAGCACTCTAAAGGATGGCCAGAAGGGTGGCCCTACCCTGAGCTCGGTATAGATGGTCTAGTTGGTCATGGCTAAGACCCTCAGCAGCCTCCCCTGCTCTAACCAAGGCAGGTGATAGGGGTTAAAGAACTGCTACCTCCCCCTCCCCCCACACACACTTCCTGGCTTCCATCTTGAGCAGCTGGGTTGTCCTTTCTCTTGTCCTAGTGCTTGCCCAGCACAGGGATTCTCAGGAGGGTATGCCAGGTCAGGCTAGTAGATAAGGTCAGGCTAGTAGATAATCAGCAGGGACCCAGAGGATCATGGTGTTAAATCCTGGCCACAGTGAACGATCTGCCGATGGCAAAGCCCCTCTGGGTCTGCCCAGCCAGGAGGCCTGTACCAGCTGCACTGTGCCTGTCAGTGAGAGTGAGGCGGGAGGTGGCCCTCCAGACAGAGCTCAGGTGGGATCTAGAACCAGAACCTCCCCAAGGGTGGGGAAAACGGGTACGAAAAGATTGGATTCTGGTGGGCCACACCTCTCACTTGACTCCCCACCATCTCTGACTCTGCAGCCTGGCTTGGCTCCCTACAGGGGTGCCTCTAGGCTTAAGGAGGAGGGACCTGGAACCTTCTGCCTTCTTAAGGTTTTCCCCCCCAATCAATGAAGAGTAACAGACTGCAGGCCAAGGCAATGCTAAGTCCTCAGGGTAGAGGGGCGCCACAGGACACGGGGCTGGCACTGACAACCACCCACATTCACCCCCCTCTCAGGATGTTGGTGGACTGCGTGCCCCTGGTCGAGGTGGAGGACATGATGATCATGGGCAAGAAGCCTGACCCCAAGTGCGTCTTCACCTATGTGCAGTCGCTCTACAACCACCTGCGACGCCACGAGCTGCGCCTGCGCGGCAAGAATGTCTAGCCTCCCCGCCCGCATGGCCTGCCCGCGGCAAACTGCAGTCCCCACCCTCCAGGCACCGTCCCCTCCCTGTGCGCCTGCCCACCACTGCCCTGTCCGTCGCGACACTCTCCCTCGCATACACACGCAGCGTTTTGATAAATTATTGGTTTTCAACGATCCTGACTCTTCTGTTTCTCTTAGTGGGGGTTAAATGAAGAGCTGCTCTAAGGGCCCCAATGCCCACAGCCAATTATGGATTCAAGGTCTGGAGGCATTTGGGGGGCTCCTATTCCGACCTCCCACCCCACCGGCCCACAGCAAGGAAGGAGTCGAGCCTCAGTTAAGGCAAAGGAGATTTAGTAGAGAGCTGGGCAGGGAAGAAAGGGGAGTTGGGAGGATCCTCCCCAATCCCATT